CCCCCGCTATCTGCCTGCCGGCCCTTCCCTCACCCACTTGCTTGGCAGTGCTCCACCTCCTGTGCTCCTAGCTACCTGGGCTGCCCAGCACTGCCCGGGAAGAGTGTGTGGATAGTGATGGTCACAGCAGCGGCACTCTCAGTTGTACACACACACACACACCCAGTGCCACTGAGGAAAGGGCAAGCAGGTGGGTGTGGGAGGGGTCATGAGTAGGCAAGGGAAGGATGCATAGGCAGGTTGGGGGGTACACAGTAAGGGGCAGGAAGGGAGGAGTGGGGGTCCTGGTGGTGAGCATACGAGGGAAGGGGGGCTAAGCACTCTCTGCCCAGGGCCCAACAAAACCTGGGACCGGCCCTGGATGCTGAACTAGGGACCTCTGGCATGACCCACCACTGCGTCATATGCTGTCATCTTGAAATCGGATTAAAATCAGAGGTCAAGGAAATCAAGCCGGTTTCTCCAAAGATGTCGCCCACCACAGGACTCTCAACATTTGGCTGTCAATACTGGAATGGGAGGGCCCAGGAAAAGTAGCGGCACAGATGCATCCTTGGGAAGTGCTCACCTGCCTACGACCAACTTCACAGCATTGGTGAAGACTCCATTCAGTGTAAGAGCCAAGCTGGCCCCTAGAGGAAGAAGAGTGCATGTCATCAGCAGCATTGTTAACAGCTCAGTTCTAATCCCTGTAAAGATGAGCAAGATAACGAGGAAAGGGACTTGTCTCTGCTGGGATCAGGAGTTCCTAGAGGCAAATTTATTTATTTGGTACATTTTTATCCCACCCTCCCTCCAAGGAGCGCAGACAGATGTATACATCACTCTCCCTTCCTCCATTTTATCATCACAACAACCCAGCAGGGCAGGTTTTATCCTCACAATGACCCACCAAGGTCACCCAGGGAGCTTCCACTGCAGAGTGGGGATTCAAACCTGAATCTCCCAGACAGTGACATCCTAATGACTACACTGCAGTTGTTCTTTTGTCCAGCAGTAGACCTGGATGATGTTATCAGGAAAGGTCAGCTGACCTTTCCTGATAACATCATCCAGATGTTTGACAGATGGTTGTGTAATAAGTTAGTAAGCTCAGTTAGTAATAACATTCTGACCCTGCCCAGCAACCCTCCAGCTCAATGCTCCCCCACCCGTGCTACCACCCCCGCTCAAGCTCACCTAGACTTGCTTCCCGCATATCATCTTGGTCAGCGTTCATGAAGAATTTGGCCAGAAGAATCAAGACCACGGGAGATAAAAAGGAAATGAACTGCAATAGGATGAAGGAGACAGGCTTAGTCAGCATCACTGTGAGAAAAGAATAAAAGCAAGTGGAACCTACACAGGGCAAAGACTTTGCTATTTCCCCTGGCATCCCGGCTATCATTTTGTAATGCTGTGCCTTCATTTTAACATTTAGAGAGACCTGTCAACTGCCTTGTTCCAGACTGTTTTACAATGGCTGTATAGAAAAAAAGCAGACTATAAAGCAAACAAAACTTGCTGCTTGTAGCCAATGTTCCCTCTAAGCTGTGGAGTCTTGTGAGCAAAAATTCTGCTTTGTGAGTTACTGGCTTTAAAGTTGTGAGCCAGCCATTTGGCTGCTGCATAAATCAGTTTGCTCTGGAGCCATCCTTCCTGAGCCAAGACAAAAATCTGTGAGCTGGAGGCTAAAAAATTGTGAGCTAGCTCACACTAACTCAGCTTAGAGGGAACACTGCTTGTAGCACAGTGACTTAAGAATGAGCTACGATCCCACGACCCCAAGTTCACGTTTCTCCGTAAACTCCCTAAATGGCTTTAGGCAAGCCATTTCCCCTCAGGCTCCCTCATACGAAAATAACAATCCCAGACCACTTTACAGGACTATTGCAAGGACTGTATCAAGGCAACGCATGTGCTGTAGACCAAAAGCACCATATAATTGCTAGACGCAATAATAATAATAATAATAATAATAATAATAATAATAATAATAATAATAATAATAATAATTTGTGTCCTTATTTAGGAACCTCTCTGTGTTGGGCTGTTCTTTCTATGATCTTTTATCCTGTCTTTAAAAAAAAAACCCTCAAAAAACTCTTCTGAACATTTGTGGCTTACACAGTTTGGCCAGAAAGTCTCCTGATGGAACACTGCCCTGATCCAGATGTACTTAGCTTCGGCCAGGCTGCAACACCGTGGACCCTTCAACCATCAAATCACCCAGACAACTGTGTAGGATGCTGATATAACACATGGACAAGCCCTTGCAGTTGCCAACTCTAGCTTGAGAAACTCCTGGAGACTTGGGGAGTGGAGGGAGCTCAGCCAGGATATGAGAACTGATCTCTGTAGCCTGGAGATCAGTTGTAATTCTGGGAGAACTCCAGATCTCGCCTGGAGGCTGGTAACCCTAGCGGTGCAGGAGGTGATGTGTGTCGTCTTCTGAACCTATGCTGTTGGCCATGACTCAACCAAGTCCCTGCAGTCACACCCAGCTGGGGATTGCATAGGAGGAAGCACCGGGCTTGTCTTGCTTGGGGTGACCAAACACCTGAAACTGGCTCCGCCACGGACCCACATGGGACCTAATGTGGTAAGACTAGATCTGTCCCCTTTTAGGCTTTGTTCCAACAAAATTTCAGGTTTTGGCAACACAGACACATTCAGTTGTCCTTAAAACAATCCATAACATTTGTTAATGTATTGGCTGAATGCCTGCAGACAGAAAGAGAAATAAAACCACCATTTTGGCGAAGTTTCTTAATAATTCAATATTGTGTTAAATTGGCCAGCACTTCTTAATAAGCTGGCAGAAACTGGGAAATGGGCTCACTAAAATGTCCCCCCCCCCGCCCCCCAGGATTCTAGGAACTCTCAGGGGCCAGGCCTTCAGCAGGCTAATTCCATCTCCCCTTCCAGCTAGAGTTTCCAACTGCCTGGAGAAAAAAAGTGTCCTATCCCTTTAAAAGAGGCTTTTTGCATTCTTTCATGTATTAAAGGGACAGGACATTTTTTCTCCAGGACTGCCCCAACTGACATTTAGTGGCTTTCAGCATTCTGTGTGTTTTGTAGAGCATAGTCCGTCCTCGTCAAGCTGGTTTTTAAGGGTCCCATCCAAATACTTTTCTGCACACCTGTGTATGCAGATACTCCTACCCTACATGATTGAATATCCACATAGAGGCCAGTAAGTTTAGATACAACATTCAGTATCAGGTACTGTAGGTATTTAAGCTTCCCCTCCTTTTACTGTGGGGAAGACCTTGTAAGATATTTAGTTCAGCTCTTAAAAAAAGGGAAAAGTTCCTAAATTTAAATTGTATCTGGAGAGGATCCTCTCTTAAGAGCGTCTGCACTAGAACATATATTAATATTTACTTTTTTAAAAAGATAGCAACTAATATTAGTTGACTGATGCATTTTCATCAATCAAAAAGCACCCACTCTGTGCCCAAACAACTGACCGATCGTTTCCTGAGAAACTAAGAACTCTGACCATGAAAGATTTGTCTTTCTTTATCAAGATACAGCGCTATCACCTTGCTTCCAATTTTTTTCATCTGCATCACCGTAGACGTTATCTTATGAATGCATGCCACATTGTATAGCCCACACTGGATACAGAGTAGAAGCGGCGCCCACTCGAAACAAACCATATACTTCAGGCACAGCCTACACTGCGCAAAACGGTTGGAATGAAGGCGTACTTACAAACATCGGCTTGGCAGGCACATGGTCAGACTCCACGTAGGGGTTTTTATACAGCCACATCTCTTCAGGCTGTATGACCCGCTGGAATGGGGGCAGGACTTCAGTGATCCTACAGAAAAGAGAATTCGGTGACTAAGATGTCTGTGGTAGTGCCAGGGAGAGCAACAGGCCAGAGTTGAGACTTTCTCCCAGTAGAAAAGGCTTCAAGGGCTGGAGCCTAAGGGAGCATTTCCCAGCCTGTGAGTCCTGATCCCAAAGTGGGTTGGTGAAGCCTACCAAAGTGGGTCATAGGCTTTTGCAGTTTTATCGATTTAGGTAAATTTTTGCTTCGATGCCTCAAGTCATGGTTATCAAACAGGCATACTTAAAATGCATGAAAGCGATGGCCACCAAAGACCCAAGGTCCAAAATCCACATGACCAATAAATCGATGTGTGACCGTACCAAGCAAATGTTTTTTTTTCCAAATGTTTTTATTGTATCCCAATATTGTTATTACATTACAGTTTAGTTCCAACTTTTTGATACTTTTACCCCTCTGTTTTTTCCCTCCCCCCTAAGGTGGCCACCATCATGTTATTCAAATTACATTTTCAACCATGAGCACATTCTTTCCAACTTTTCAAATATACCTCTGTTGGCTTCCCCTTTATAAACCCATTTAAAGTATACCGACCATTTCTTTTTTATCTCCTTCATTTTTACAGTCCATGTCTTATCTTGCTTTAAGCATTCCAATATGTCCGATTGTATATATTCATATAAATATTCGTTCCATTTTTCTAAAGTCCATTTTGAGTTCTCCTTCCAACCATATGCAATTACTGCATGCGCTGCTAATAACATTACTTTGAAAATATCCTGATTTTGTTTCTCAATTCTATGGTTTCCCAATACACCCATAAATAATAAATCTACATCTATAACCAGGTTCACTTTACATAGCACTGCTATTTTCCCCCGTATCTTTTCCCAAAAATCTATCACTTTTGGGCATTCCCACCATAAGTGAGAATACCACCCTTCTTTTGCATTACAGTGCCAGCAATTGGGTTTCATTCCTTTTATCATATATGCCAGTTGTGCAGGAGTTCTGTACCACTTCCATATTATCTTTCTTTCAAGTTCTCTATACTTTTCTAGCTTAATTTTCTTCAAGTTCACCATTAACTTATTGACATCCTCAGTAGTAATTTGTTTTTCCTTATTCCATTTGTTTTTTAAGCTTCTGCACATAAATTCCTTATCTTTCACCAATTCTAAATAAATCTTCCCTGCCAATCCTTTTTTTATTTCTTTCACATATAGTATTTGTTCCATATTATTATCTTCCCTTTTAATAGCTTCTTTATACTTATCTTGTTTAATTAAAGAATATAATCCCATCGAATTTAACCAATATCTATTTCCTAGTTTTTGATTCAACTCCTGAGGCGTTAGTGGATTCCCTTGGCTATTATACATATCCTTCACTCTTAATATTCCTTCCTTCTGCAGGTCGTCCCAGAATTTCGGATTCATCTCCTTCTCCCATATATACCTAAGTGGAGTCCATTTTGAAGTTTGTGGCATCAATACCTTTTCCCACCTCTTCCAAACAAGTAAAGCTGTTTTCCTTGGTCCTTCTGCTTGTCTTATTTCTTTTCGTAGATCTCTAGAATACATTCCATAACTTCCTGCTCCCTTATTTATCTCAGATTCCAATCTTACCCACTTGTCCTCTTTCCTCCATTCTAACTCCATCACTATTTTTAGCTGAAATGCATCATAATAAGCTTGTATACATGGTAACCCCCATCCTAAATCATCTTGGGGCATATATACTAATTTTTTTATCATTCTTGATTTTTTCCGTCCAAACACCCAGTTTTTAATATGTTCATCCCATTTCCTCATAACTGCTTGGTCTAATTCTATTGGGAGTACCTGAAGTAAATATAGCATCTTTGGAAGTATAAACATCTTTACTGCTCTAATTTTCCCTAAAATACTCAAATTCTTGTTTTTCCACTCCTTCAGTTTCTTTATTATCTTTGACCAAGCCTTATTATAATTAATTTTTTGCAGCCTCTCTATATTTCTATCGAGATATACTCCTAGATATTTAATCTTCCGAACTCCTGATTTCATCCCCGTTAGCTCTAGTATCGCTCTTTTAGTTTCTCTATCTACATTACTAAACATTATTTCAGATTTCTTAATATTTATTCCAAGCCCAGAACTTAACTTAAAATCGTCTAAAATAACTAACAATTCTCTTATTGCCTGTAATGGGTTACTTATTGTCAGCAGGATATCATCCGCAAAGAGATTCAGTTTAAGTTCTTCCTTGCCTATTTGGAATCCCTGAATTCTACCACTATTTCGTATCCTATCTGCTAGGGGTTCCATTGCTAATGCAAATAGCCTAGGGGACAATGGGCACCCTTGCTTTACTCCTCTCTCAATTAAGATTTCTCTAGTATGTCCATCATTTATTCTAATGACTGCTTTGCCTCCCCTATAAATTTCCCTTATAGTATTCAAATACGGTCCCCTAAAGCCAAATTTTTCCAATACCTGCATTAGATAATCATGATTTAAAGTGTCGAACGCCTTATATACATCTAATTTTAATAAAACTAATGTTTTCTTATTTTTACAGGACAAGGCATTTAGTATATTTCTCAATGGGTGGGCTATGAATCTATTTTTGACAAAGCCATATTGATCTTCCTTGACTAATTTTGATAGCAGTTTTCCCAATCTATTATCCAACACTTTTGTAAAAATTTTATAATCTTGATTCATCAGACTAATTGGTCTATATGAATTTATATCTAATGGATCCCTCTGGGGTTTTAATATTGGTAGAATTTCAGCTTTCTTCCATGTGTCTGGCATTTTGCCTTCTTTTAGAATATAATTAAATAATCTTTGCATTTCTGGAATCAGAATCTCCGCCATTTCTTTATAATATTCTGCCGTGAACCCATCCAACCCGGGGGATTTCCTATTTTTTAACCCTTTTATTACTTCTGCTATTTCCTTCTTTGTAATTTCTTCATTCAGTCTTTCTCTCTGTTCTGATGTTAACTTCTTATCTAGTTGTTCCTCAAATTTTTGGTTTTCTCCAGATTTAAATAGTTGCTGATAAAATTTAGCAAATTCCTCTCTTATCTGAGTATTTTTAAAAAGCTGGTTCCCCCCATCCCCCTTGACACATCCTATTTTTTGTTTTTCTTTTCTTGATTTTAGATAATTAGCCATTCTTTTCATTGTATTCATATTAATTCTATGATATTCGTTTTTTACTAATATTTCTTTTTTCCACATAGACAAAGAATCTAAATTCTCTAAGTCTTTTTTAAGTTTTTTTAATAATTCCTGAGTCTGCCTATTATAGTTACTCTGAAGTTCCTTTTGTTTTAGCGTGATTTCATTTACTATCCTCCTTCTCTCCTTATTATTTTCTCTTTTAATTCTAATTTCCTTAGCAATATAAACTCCCCTTATCACTGCTTTGGCTGCATCCCAAACTACTTCTTCCCTGGCTGAGTTCCTATTCTCTCTAAAGTAACATTCTATGTTTTTCCTTACGTCCAACCGATCCTCTTCAATTAAAGGCAAATTTGCCTTATATCGCCAAATAAACTCTTTTCGCTCTTCGCTTAATTTAAATTGAACTATCAAAGGAGCATGGTCCGAAATCCATATAGGCTCAGTTATTGTTTTCACCACCTCTATCTCATTTGTTTCCTTTACTAAAACATAATCAATATATGAAAAGTTCTTAAATCTATTAGAGAAGTATGTAGGTTGTAACGTTTTCCCTCCATACATAAATGCATCTTTCAATTTCCATTTCTTAAGCTTCAGAGTTTTACTTTTCCTAAAATCATAATTAACATCTCCTGCCACTACCAATTCGCCTTCATAGAAGTTCTGCAGTTTCTGAAATATCTTATTCAAAAATCTTACCTGGCCTGTATTTGGTGCATATATAGAAGCTATTGTAAACTTCCTATTATTCATCCGTACTAAGCAAATGTGGACTTGTGGGTTACTGCATCAAAAAGTTTGGGAACCACTGGCCCGAGGCACGCGGCTAAGTCTGAAGCCTTCTTCCAATGTATGTGGCTCTTCCTCTGACGGAGGAGCCACTCCCGTCGGAAGCCGGCTTCTGAAGCTGGAAGCTTCACTAAGTGAAGTGACGGGACACTTGCCTATGAATCCATTATGCTGCCCTGGCACCAAGAATCACCAGTCTAGGATGTTGTAATCCTTCCCTTCCCTTCAGGGAGTGCAGAACAGCACCCTGGGTTCTCCCGTCCCCATTTCATCCTCACAACAAGGTAGGTTAGGTTGAGAGAACGTGTCTGGCCCAAGGTCACACTTCAGAGCAGAGTGGGTATTTGAACCCAGGTCACCCAACATTGTAACCACTAAACTGTCACTCTTCTGCCAGCTGAATGTGTCTCTTTGCTACAGCACGGCTCCCTGCACTGGTGGAAACCTCTGCTGCTAATGGAATACATTCACCGTACATAACCCGAAGAGCAGAGCAAGTGTCTTGAGTTGGTACAGTCCACAGAATGGAATTCCACCTAGGTTCAAATCCGGGATCAGATATGAGCTCACAAGCTAGCCTTGGACAGGCATAACTCTCTGGCTCTTTTTGTATGATCAGACTGTTTTTGCAAAATGCAATAAACACACTTTGGTTACTTATTTGTTGTCACGCTGGCACCCTTGATGATTGATCAGTCCAATATTTTCAACTGACCACCAACCATTTTGCCTGCAATCAAGTACTCCATGAATGATGCTATGTACAGGGTCGCTCTCCTGGTATCAGGAGCAAGGGTTGTGCTTGCTCCTGAGTCTTGCACTCTTTGGGGAAGCCTTAGCAGCACAGAAAAGAAGCTTTGCTAGAACCAAAGGCAAAAATAGGAAACCATCGATGGCAAAGAAGATCCCTTTCCGATATCATTTAAAAGTTAATTTAATCAGCTCCTTTCCAGACATCACGATAATGAGAGTTCTGTCCAGCTTTTCTGCTGGTGAAAAAGGAAGGAGGCATCCTCTTCATCCGCTCAAAAAGGATATTCTGAGAATTATGG